CACACACACACACACACACACACACACACACACAGTTTTCCATCTCTTTCCTATAGCTGAAATTCTTCTTTTTGCAGAAGAAAAAACCTTGGGAGAAGAACAAACCCCAGAAGAAAAAAGGTGGTGCTAAAAAGAAGAATCAGAAGCAACCTTTTAAGAAGGTATGGTGTATGGTTTAAATTATGGCAGTCATTCCAGCAAATGATTTTTGTACAGGTTGTCACCGCCCAAAGCAATGCTCATCCTCCATCTGTCGAAATTGAAAACAAAAAGAAAAGCAGAAACGAAGAAGACGAAGATGATGAAGACGACGATAATGTGATTAAATTGTCTGAGATATTCTTATCTGAAGTGTGGCGTTCAATTTAGTCGTCGCTATCATCATCAGAGCTGCCTCCGCAATTAATCGAGGAGGAAAGCGACTACGAAGATGACTGGGCAGAGGGCAGCTCCAAAAAAGTAAATCTTTGTTAGGAAATCAATAAATCAGCCTAATTTTTTTGAGGTCATTTTCGATGCGAAATCGCACAAAACACACATGGTACATTGCCCTTACTTTCCTCCAGAGAAGTATGAGTGGTGGTTAGTTCACTTATCTGTTTGAGCATTTGTGAGGATACGATATCACTCTAAGGTGGTTGGTACTGACCATGCTCGACAAAAAACAGCGTCGACTAGTTTGCCCAACGATCTCTTGTAAGACACTTGTCGATGAACAAACTGTAAGTTTTTTGAAAACTGGTTTTGCCCATGCATCATTTTCGCCATACGAGTTCTTTTACATAGTGAATTGTGCTCTTACCAGTACGCAAATTTGCTGAGAGCTACAGTTAATGCAGTGGTATGAATGTGACTAGGGCGTGACATAAGGTGTTCCAGGACTCTTAAAATACTGTCATATGAATTCATAGAGAAGATGCAGAATTGAGATTATCGGTTAGATTAATGATAGTGTTATGCATGCGCTATAGTACGATTAATTGTTGTTGTCCCAGCTTACTGAATACAACGTTTTAGTACCGTTTTAATTCAGGTTGAGATGCGATTTTCGGCCCCACCAACTAAAGGAGTATACCACTTTCAGCTGGCGGTGCGGTCAGATTCGTATATGGATTGCGATTACAATAAGGATATCAGGGTAAGTTTTTAGTCTATAGCAAATTCAGCTGCTTTGCATTTTTTT